CCAATGTTAGCTATGTCGTCCGCGAAGTAGATGGCACCGAAATACAATAGCACGCATAGCACGAAGCACGCGCGCAACTGCAGAGAGCTGATCTTACGCGACCGGTCACCCTCCGCGTAGCGCTTGGCAAAGACCCGCTGGGCGCGAGGGTGCGTCTCGCGCAGCGAGTATCCCACTGGCCGACTACCAGCGTGCACCGTCGGAATGCGAACGTACTGGGGGGCGGCGTCCACGACACCGCGCTGCTTCCGGTGGAGTGCCATCTTTGCCAATTGTCTCGATAGGAATCGACTGAACCGTTCAGGTTACAGTGGTGCACCTCGTATTTGGTTAGGGTGAACAGTATCGTAATTTAGAATATATTATTTCTCAGTTGCGAAATATTAAGCAAAACCGAATTCAAAGAATGCTTGTCATCCCCAAATATAAGGTTTAAGGACTTTAACGGAAAGGAGCACAAACTAAATGCCATATGGAAGGACCTCACTTCCCTATGGCATAATCAGATTAAAAAAACTGTTAAAAAAAAAAGAAACACGAAACATGCAGCGTCTATTGGTTTGCCAAGTTGCGCAGCCTCTATTGACCAACCTGCGGGTTGCTCGCGTTCGTTGAAGGTGCACCCAGCCACTCCGAGAGCACATTGCCCAGCACGGCGCCGTCCACGCTGGTAGCGGTCGCGTATTCCGCCGACTTCAGCCACACATGCTGCTCGCTATCGATGTTGAAGCGCGTCACGTTCGTCAGCTGCGCGTGCGAGTCCAAAATCTGCGTCAGATTACCGAAGAACTCGCCAGCATCAAGAAGAGTCGTGAATGGGTAGCCCGCGATGCCCAGCCGCACCAATTCGTAAAACTTTCGCTGAGTGCGGTCAGCGGTGCTGTCGATGAACAACCACTCACTCTTGGGGGTTTCCTTAATAAGGGCGTCGACCAGGGCAGTGGCCGTAGCCGTGCCCGCCTTGCATTCCGCCGCCATCGACTCGGGAAAATGCAAGTCAACGTCACAGCCGCCGTAGAAATTCACAAGGGAACTAGCTGCTGCCTTGTGCTCCGGGAAGACGCCGACGTAGCTATCCGCCAGCACCTGGAACTTCGTCGACTTTTGCTCGACCTTCCACATGTCAGCAACCTTCGCCGACCAAAGTTGTGCGCCTAGCGACCCTGCGCTATAGCCACCGATAGCCAACTGCTTTGGGTCAGGGAAGTTTTCAAGCGCCCAGTCCAGCACAGCCTTTGCATTATTGTAGCCGTTCAGGTGCATGCTGCGATTTTGGCCGAGGCACTGCTTGTTACCTAGTGCCTGATTGTACGCGCTTTCGGAGGCCTCGAGCTGCGTGTTGCCCACGAAGAGGTCTCCTGTGCAGTATGGGAGGAATACAACGTTCCAGTCCTTGAAAGGGTTATCAACGGCGCCACGGTCCATAATGCCACTGTTGTCGACTTTTGCAGCCGTCGTAATGAGGGAGTTAGCGCCAAGTTGGCATTGCAACGCGAAGTTACAAGTATCCTTATCGACACAGGCGCCGCCTCCTTGGAAGTACAGAAGCACCTTGGACTTGTCTTGCTTCTGATTCGGAAACACTTGGAAGAAGTACGTCGAACTTGACTCGAACGTCGTGGTGTTGTCAGAGTAGTCGTCAAAAGCACAGCGTGTGCTACCACCAGGGTAAACAAGAATGCTACCATCGTCCCCCGGCGTTGGAAGTGAGTCGATCGCACATTTTTCCGACGGC